CCTCTCATATTTTCCAAAATATTAAAACGTAAAGATTCACTCAGACTGATAGGGCTTCCTTGTGAATACAGTGCTATGTGGCTTTCTTACAGAACCTTCATTTGTAGCTTGTGGGGATAATTTGTCTTTTTTGTCTGTAAACAGTGAAATGTGTTTGGACTGCAAAATCATTCATTGCACTTTCGTTCTACATATAGAGCTTTTTTTTCTGGTGGAAGGGTGCATGCATCAATTAAGCATTTTACAGAGAAATATACCTGTACAGTATATGCCAAAGCAAAGATATATATCTAGAGCTTTGGCTTGGGTTTCTGAAAGCAGCAAAGAGTGCCACTCCAAGCTGTCTTTAAAGATTGCAGTATAAGTTTTATGATCTGTATCTGCTAGCGCAGGTGACTCATAATAAATGTACTCCAAAGGTATAGTGCCATGTCCAGCACTGATTGCTCTTACAAATGAGTGCTCCTCTTCACTAGAGTAATTTGTAATCATATAACAGTTTGACTTTCTGTTTGGAAAAGCATAGTTTTGTCAGATTAGTTTATGCCACTATATCTCTCATAGCATTTTCAGAGACTATGACAGCTGTTGGTTTCATATTTACCCCCACATTTTTCTATATTTTAAACAAATGTTGCTTCTCCTTCTTTACTCTGAATGTTCTACATGCTGTTGAGGCCTTCTTTCCTTAAGAAAAAAAAAGAGAAAAGAAGAAAAGCAACTAAAATGCTAATGTGTATTATGAACACATGTATTACGTTGCTTTTTTTTGTAAACAGATGTAACAGCTCTTCTTTTTTATTCTTTCTTGCTTCCTTTAAGAGCTTCTCTTTCTGCTATTCTATCTCAGAATAGGTTACACTACTTTTACTGGGCACCTCCAAAGGTTTTGTTCTGTTTTGGGTTGGGGTTTTTATTATAAGAACTCCTTTGCTATATTCTTGGCCTGTTGAATAGTTGTGACCTAATCCTGCTGTCTGAAGTATGCGTGGTGTATGGACTGCGTTCAATAGGTTTGGTTGTATATTGTAAAGAAGCAGGAATTTCTGGAGCTTAAGCATCATAAGTTACAGTTTGGCTCCTGTAGCAGGAAAGATAAAATAGACCAGAAACACTTCAGCCTGAAGGAATAAGTGCTGAGGAATAAGAGTAAAAACCTGAATGCAGGGTGAAAATTAATAGAGAAGGATTACAACAGCAGCGTGAAATCACAAGGTAGAGCAGTAAAAAAAACAACCAACAAAAAAAAAAACCTCAAAGGAAATTTTACACAATGCAGAACTGGACTCTGGAACTTGTTGCCACATGATGTTGATTACAAAGAAGTTGTGAATGCTCCATCCCTGGCGGTGTTCAAGGCCAGGCTGGCCAGAACCTTGGGTAACATGGTTTAGTGGGAGGTGTCCCTGCCCATGGCAGGGGGGTTAGAACTAGATGATCTTAAGGTCCTTTCCAACCCTAACTATTCTATGATTCTATGTGAATGACTTCAAAAAGCATTTAGACCCAGTAATGAAAGAAGTATTCACAGAGAGACAACTGCTAATAGCCCAAAATTTTGCAGTCAGAGGAAAACACACCTTGGAACTGTGAGAAGGGGATACTAGCATATGCTTAAATCGCAGGGGCAATTGCCATTTTTGGAACAGATTTTGTGTCACTGGAACTGTAGATAGACAAAGCGTTACTATTTGTACAGTAAAACTGGTAAGAACAAGAACACCTGTCTGGTCTTAGCTGCTTCTGAAGCAGACAAGTGGAGGGAAAACTTGCTTGCAGAAGAGAACTCTCTCACACGTGAATGTAGTGCATAAGCTCTTCAGGGAAATTAATTCAAACTGTTCACTCTGAAACTCAGTTTGCTACTGCAGCATTTTCAGTTGCGTGCATCTTCAATACACTCTGCACTCACATACATACACAGACTGATGAAACTTCTGTTCTTACTAATGTGATGCTTTTCCAGCCCTTTAGTTCTCACCTTAGGTTTCACACTTTTTTGTATCCTTTTCAGTATAAGACCTCCTATTTCCTGAGAGGAACTGGGCAAATTTAGGCTATCTGACCTTTATGGGTTTCTGCTTTGTCTTCTGCGTTGTTTCTAGGTGATAAGTGAAGATGTAATGGGCAATGCTTAGCCACTGGGGTAAAATTTTTAATTCATGCACATGTTGCTGTTGGTTGGACTTTCCAAATGCTGAGATTTGGGGTTTCCTAGTAGGGGATCTGTTATAACAAATGACTATAGTTGAGATCCTGAGTTTTTAACTTAATTAGTGTCTCTTCTGGCAGTAACAGTACTGAAGACCATGGCTGACATCCTGACTTTTAAATTAGTTGAAAAATGACCCCATGTAGACAGAAACCCTATCCTGTTAAGCCTTCCTCGTATCTGAAAGACTGCTGTAAGAGTTCACTCTTGGTTAAAAAAGCATCTTATCTCTGTTGGTCTCTAGCATAATTGTTATCTACACTGCCATTAAGAACGTTTAAGTGATACCAGATTTCAGCATATAGTGAAGTGACAATTCAGCTTCTGTAATCTGTTTATGTTTAAATGTTTGAATTCTGCATCTTTTAATTTGTTTGCAAGGTGCCCCACATAACCACTGTATTACAATGTGTGGTTTTGCTGATAACTGATGAAATAGATCAGCACAAATTTCAGCTACATTCTTCTCAATGAGGAGAATCTTTCTGTTTTGATACCAAGGCTTGTTTTTAGTTAGTTAAGGCAATGCAAAATAAATAATCTCAACATACTAATTTATAATATTGCTTACTAGGATTTGGAAAAAATTCCTCACTGTGAGGGTAGTGAGGCACTGGCACAGGTTGCCCAGACAAGCTGTGGCTGCCCCATCCCTTGCAGTGTCCAAGGGCAGGTTGGATAGGGCTTTGAGCAACCTGGTCTAGTGGAAGGTGTCCCTGCCCATGGCAGGAGGGTTGGAACTGGAGGAGCTTTAAGGTCCCTTCAAACCCAAACCATTCTATGATTCTACGATTCTATGATTCTCCGATTCTCTGAAATAAGGAGCTGACTGGAAAATAAGAGATTTAATATTAAAAAAAAAAAAATCAGTTTTTTTATGTCTACTATTTAAATTAAGATCCCCTTGTTACCTGAAAGTTATCTTTTATGTGGAAGCTTTCTATGTGATAAGTATGCCCAATAACTTGAACACAGGAAGAATCTGAATAATGTTTCCAGGCCTTCCAAGAGCTTTAATTTGTCATAAACAGGAATGACTGATAGTGAGGATAGGACAAGTGACAGCTTTGAAAAATGATTATTTAAGCATGTATTTTCCCTGAGCAAAAGGTGGATGTTTCTTGATAACTACCTTTACAGGTATGTTCATATTCTCAGGCCAGATTAGCAACAAACACGTAGTGCATACAGGCATGTTTGTGTGCAGATGATTGAGAAAAGAGCTGGAGATTAAATAAATGCCATGCTGTGCTGATGAAAGAAAGGCAAGGGTCTTGTAACCTCAATGAAGCCATTCCACAACACACCAGCTGAGCATTATCCTAGTTTGAACAGTGCCTTTTTCTTTGGGTTATTTTAATTCTCAGCTGTGAAGAACTTCTGACATTTTTCATCCCTATTTCTTTTTACAAAAATCGCTGAGGTTTTTGTGAATTGAATCATTGCTTAAACCTTTGCTTGACCTCAGAGGCTCTTTTGCAGTCAAGGACAGCACTAGCCAGCATTGTACAGCCTGTGCTATGCAAACAGGCACTGAATACTGTAATTCAGTCAACTCCTGCAGGTCGAGCTTGCAGTGTTTATTTTAGAAAATGGAGAAACTACTATAGATTCCTCTAATTGAAAAATGAGGGGCTTTCACTTATGTTACATTGTGACCCACCCATTGAGGAAAATTGTCGATAGATTTTACAGATTTCACCCTTATCTGTTATTCTTAATATACTCTCACAAATTTTTATTTCAATTGCAAGTGATTTTCTTGTTGCTAGCTGATATTTTTTTTTTTTTTTTAAGGGCAGTTTGTCATAAAATGGGGGCTCATGGGGTTTTTTTGCAAACTGTGGGTTGATTCTGAAAAAAGCGGATGCTATTATTGTGTAGCTACAGTCAATTTTACCAACATGACCTTCTCCCTCTGAATAGGATGGGCTTTGTCATTGCTGAGGAAAATACACATTTTATTTTGCATGGAAAATCTATCCTGATTATTTTTTAAAATGCATACTTTCTGATATAATGATTACAATTGGACTGTACCTACATTCCAGCTACTGTACAGCTTCTCTAAAGATGTATTTTTGACACTTTTAATTGACCCTTATTCACACAAATGAAAAATATGTATTTGATTGAAAGTATTTATGACATAAGTACCTCAGAATTAAAAAACCCAAACCAGCAACCAACAAGCCAAACACAGAATTATGGAGATATATGTATCAAGCCTGAATTTCAAGAGGTGCAAATACTACATCCATATAACTCACTTCCTGCAATGTATTAACATTATAATGAATCACCTGATAATTGTCTGTTCCTATCATATAACTATACTCGCTATACTATGAATGCCTCTGGGTGAATGTAATTGAAATGTCAGACTTTATATGGATTTGTGGTGTAATGTGTAACAGAACTCATTAAATTAATAATCGATACAGTAAAAATAGTTAATCAGAAATAAATCTGCATCAACCAAAAGGGATGCATAAATCTCCCTCCTTGTGTTTGCATAGCTCCATATACCCCCCAAAAAGAAAAGAAAGATTAGAGGTAAGTTTTAAGGGTGATTCCTTCACCTAGGATGCTGGCCTTCTGGTCATGTTTTGTGGTGTACATGCCTCAAAAACAAGCATCATGTTAAATGTGATACATGACTTTGACAAACAAGATATGCGGTTAAAATTCATAGAAGTAACCCAAAGAATGTTCCTTTTGTGTGTCACATCTCGGAAAACATTCAGTTTGGAGTAACAATTTACATGTAAAGTCAATGTAATTTCAGAATTTCTGTGTCGACACCACCAAGAAATTGTGCTCGAATCAAGCTGCTGATGTTTTGGAATTACAGGTTAGTTGTCAAAAGGATTTGGTGCATCATGACAATAAGAAGGACATGACTGGAAATGCTACATCAGTGGAAACCAGTGTGATTAAAGGTCAGTTAAGCTTTATTATTTGAGTTATTGATATAACAAAGCTTCTACCCAGCCCTGAAAAGTAATTTACATACAGAATTATCTTGTGTGATTTCACTTGGAATATGTGGCTTATTCAAAAGAGATGAAAAGTGAACATTTCTGTTCTTCCTCCATAAATGACATAAGGCAAATTCATCCAAGCTCTCAACAGCAGCATGGTCTTAAACTCTGTTTGACACTGCAGAGTGAATATTCAGTACTTTTTAGGAACAGACACGTGGGAAAGATGAACTTTCTTTTTGCTTTCGGATGACGTTTACACATAATCTGTTATTAAAAACTCTTATTCCAACAGGTTTTAAAGACAAGCAAACAATTTACATTAAAGATGTCAAGATGTCTTCACATTTTTGTATTTTGAAGAAAAAAAAAAAGAGCAAATTACTTGACTGATAATTGGTTTTAAAGTCACTGTTTGCTTGAATTTCCCAAGCATTTTTGACAGAAGGTTAGTTTCCCTAGTTATCTTTCAGGTTTTTCAGAAGGAAATGTGCTAAAGTTGAGAAACTGAATGATAAGAGGACAAATTCAAAAGACTTTGCAGTATATATAGAAAATAAATTTGATTTAATTAATCTGTGAGTCACAGGTTGTATCTGAAATGTGAACACATCACATTAATTACAACTCTGAAATATTTGGAAGACTAAAGCACAAACGCTCATTCTCACAGCATTTGTTAACTGATAACTGATATCATAACTGAATTTCCCATAAAGTTTCTCTTTATTGTCTTGTCATTTACTGTGTAAGACTCCTAAAAAGGACTATTTGAAACTACTCATATTGACAAAGCCAAATGCGACATAAACAGCTTTTATAATGAATTAGTGTAGCATGTTGAATATTCACTAATCCTTACTGCTGTAGATGTTGATTGTGGGCTGGTTTTTGAAAGGTTTTTTGGTATCTGCTTTGAAAGATAATCCCAAATTTGATACTTAGTGGCTTTGAAAAAATCTACCTGCATGCTGTTTTGTCACTGCTTAATGATTTGATTAGATTTGTAGGGGTAAATGGTAGCTTCCATATTGGCAGCTACAGAAGACATTACCCTCTCTTTAAACTTGAGGAAAAAAAATGAATACCAAGATGGGTTAATGCTGTACTCTTCTGTGTCAAAGGAGCTACCTGCAAATCACTGGGACTCAGCTTTGACAAACACTGTCCATGCTACAGGGATCAGTTGGATCACTTGCATGGATTAATCTCTGCAGGGTGAGGGAAGCAGTGGGGGAGTGCACCAGAAGAAAACATGACCAAAGCATCCTTACTGAAGTAGGCCAGGCTTAATGTTTATGCTGAGGACTGGCTTATTCACAGGTAAAAAATAGCCTTTGCTACCGAGGGTTTCAAACAAACACTCAGGACCTTTGTTTAGTACATACATACAAAATCAAGAAGCAGCACATCATAATGTTTCTTCTTTTGCAGGACTAGGAAATTGCTTCTTGTTAAATTGCCTTAGAGTATATCCCTGTACAAACTTTTGTCTTAAATTTGAGTGTAGTGTGGGTTTGAGCTAGGCAGATTTAACCTGGATGAAAGAACAGTGATGGATTGTACGCTGACAAAATGAAATCTTTTTCTGTGAGATGTGTGTTAGTATAGCCCAAAATTATTTGATTTAATTCAAAGATAACTGCAGAATTATACAGAAGATTGGATTAGATGACATAGCAGTTCTTCCAGGCCAGCCAAAGGATTCCCATGAGTCCACTGTTGCGTGCAACAAGCTTGCCCGTTCCAAAGAGTATACTCTGCTCTGCTAATTCACAAGATAATGGATTAGAAAATATGTCAAGACTAATAACACAGACACACTCCTGTGGGTTTTGAGTAGGAGGAAATACACCATTCACTGACTAATCTTTAAACTTCTACTGATGAATGTTAAGCCACACTTCAAAGCACCAACCTGTTTCAGATTCCTAATAAGGATGTTGAATCTGTGCTCTCAAAAAAAAACCCCAACAACCAGAGGCAATTGCTATTTCTTATCAAAGGCCACACTGTTCCAAAAAGCAAAGCAACATGCCTTTCTCTCAGCTTTAAAGCCTCTATTGTCTTTCCTTACAGAGTTCATGTTATTAAATATAGGATTTATTATCTTTGTTGCTAAGAAATTGAACTTTTTTCTTCTGTTGCAATTAAACCTGAATTGACCACTAAAGACATTACCTTATTTTCTTATATTTGACTGAGTTTGAATTCATTAGAAATAATAGCAATATCTGCAGGATAATAACTCTCTTTAAAAAACTGCTCTATCAGTTTTTCTATGACCTTGAAATTTATTCTAAGTGGAGTTTCTAAAGCTAATCTTACCTAATCTTCTTGCCCCTGGTTTAGTTTTTTGGAATTGTTACAGTGTTTATATTGACTTTGTTTATTGATGTCAAGACATTTTGGGGAATAGATTTATACATTCTGACTTCAAGCACTCGATTTAGGAGGCCAGTGGATTGGAGAAAATGAAAAAAGAATGGGCCTTCTGATTGCCATTTAGGATACACATATAATGTCTACTAATTTGGCAATGCAGACGGTTTAAGAAATTTCTGCCCCTGTGCTGTAGCTTCCTGTCCCATCAGTTAAGGCCACATATTTGGTTATGGATCTGTGGTCTAAAACAAATATTAAAATGAATTAAACAAAATATCCCCCAAACCATAGAATTGGGAAATATTAAAAAAAGAAAAAAAAAAAAAGCTGTTCTTTTATGACATCACAGGGATTTGTTATTAACATTCAGAATTAGGAATTAGGCACATATTGATAAGAAATATGAATTAGGAATCCTTTAGTGTATGCATGTATGAGAACTCCATCCAGCTTCCAACTGCATCTCAGTCTTTGGTTAAGGCAAAACTGTTATTAGATACTTTGGCTTCTATGGTCCTATAACTGTCTTTTAAAAAAATGCAATTGGATTCTTTTTCTGTTTTTTTTTTTGGGCTGTGAACACAAAACTTACTCTTGGCTGATGCATATTCTGAGATAAGTTTAAAAAAGGGAAGAAAATGATGTGGCAGAGATCACATAATTTCATAGGACAGAGAGTACACTTTACTAAATTATATTTAAACATTTTCAATCAACTTTGCTCTTAACCAAACTGTAACTTGTTCTACAGCAGGGCAAAGAAAGCATAGGGTCTGAATCTTTACATATTTCATTCGTTTCTTAGATACGGCTGATTATAATTGCAGTAATAGGCAGAGGTTCCAGGCAGAAGCTTGTGGAAGTGGTTGCAAAGGAGAAGGTAAAGCAGTTACCTGTAGGATAACTGAAAAGGCCTTTATGTGAGCCATCTTGCCCAGTGTCCAGCTGTGCTGCCTGGCTCTGCTCCACGTGCTCTGTGCAGAGCAGCACCTGGGATCTAAAGAGGTGCAGGCCAGTGCCCTCAACCCTTGTCATACTTTCTTGCAGGAAGGTATTGTTGGGCTTGAAGTATGCAATTGTTTAAAACTTGTGGGAGCTGTTTCTTATCTGCAAGAGCTGTTGATACACTGAGGATTTATTTTACAAAAAGAGGCAGTAGTGCAACAGTGGAAATTAGTGTCTCTAAGATTTCAATAAAACCAGCAAGGCAAAAAGTGACAAAGAAGAAAATTAAAATATAAAAGGACAGTGAAAGTGGTCAACAGATATCTCTTCCAGGAAATTTATTTTTTTTTAAGAAATTAAGATTAAGATTAAACTTTTCCAAACAATGGGTTGGTAGATTTGCGTGAGAGATAAATATTATCCACACATGAATTGTAACCCTACAGTGCATATGAAATACTTTGATGGTTGCACTTTGCAGTTCTTAAAGGTATGTTACATGATCACTTGAAGTAACAGTTGATGAATGCCAGCTGAAGGAACAGTCCATTAGTTTTAGAGAGACTGATTCTGCTGTCACTGAATAGTTTTCAGTAGCAATACATAAGGAATTAGCTCTCATTAGTACTGAGGAGCATTAGAACCAGACCCACAGCAAATAAAATTCTACTGTTCATAAAAACACTCTGGCTTCTGCATATGCCTTTAGTTCTGTACATTTTCACTTCAGTAATGTGCATAAATAAGGATGTGGTTCTACCAAGTTTAATTCACATTGTTATTGCACATAATAATTCACAACTATTGTTTGCAAATTCAGCATAAATAAACACTAAATGTTATTATGTGGTTGAATGTTAGTTCATGCAGCATAAAACCTGAACTGATATATTTGCCACAGCTAGAAAACTGTGTTATGGTCAGGGTCAGAGTTGGTTAGGTATGCAGCCTTGTATGTACATGAGTTGGGGTTTCTTGCACTGGTTTCATTCAAGCAGGAATCCTTATGGGTTGAGTTCCTTCTGTTGGCTACATTTTGAAGGAGGGCAGAATAGAGAATTATGACAATTGTGACCTTGAAATTTGTGAAAAAACAGCAAGTATATTCTGGGGGGGGAGGGGGAATAAATCTTACTCATTCAAGGATACAAGTGAGATAAATGGAAATGTCTAGTCTGCAGAGCACTACCCTTCCACTATAACGGCAAACATAATTATACAAATTGTTCCAGGAAGAGCAGGATTAATTTGGTTTAATAAGTATTCAGGTCTGTTGTCCCCTGTTGCTCTTCTCCTGATAATAACCAAAACTCTCCTTATGGCACTCCTATCAAAAGAAAAAGAGCAGGTCTGGAGCTATCTGTGTGTTGAGTGGCCAACAAATATGCACATACTGATTTATCCCGCTGGCTGCTGCCAAATGGAGTGTATAACAGCTGTGTTCTGCATGCTTTTCTTTCAAAAGAGGAACTAATTCAACTCTCGCTTTTGTAACCACATTGAGACTTCTGCCCCTTTTTCAAATCTGACTGAAATTGGCAAAAAAACCTTTTAAAACTACTGAAGAGATTGATGGATGGATAGACAGCACAATAACATAAGCCTTGTTTTCTTAGCAGGCTGAGATGGCATATCTGATTCAGTAGTTCAGTGTTGAGAGCAATGGATATTTTTTCAATCAGGGAAGGAAATCGCATTGATTTCACTGTTCAGAATCCTCTTGGGATCGTTCAGCTTGTCCCTTTCACTGCTTAATGCTTTATTGAAGTGTAAATATATACATTTCAGAAGGCATCCTACACAGGTTTGGGACTAAGGACAGCTTTGATTTAGTATGGCCTGATGACATTAATTTCCCTTCTCCTTGAGCTGTCTTGCTTAGAAGCATATCATTTTGTTTCCATGTGTTTGGAAAAGAATGAAGTCTGGCTATGCCATCCGTGAGCAGTCTGTGCTTTATATCCATATTAGCAAGTCTAAGCACAGAAACAGTATTTCCCTTGATGAATCAGAGGGGTTAGTTTATTCTTTCAGTGACTGTTTTATTCATTAGTTTACTTATATGAAACACAGCCAACTTGCAAATGAACTACAAACCTGAAAATGTCTATTAACAAGATAGTGGCCACATGTGTGAATATGATCTTAATTAAATTTCTCATTATGTTTGGGGTTTTGGTTGGGTTTTCTTTTTTGTCGTTGTTTGGGTTTGGTTTTGGCTCTTTTTGCATTTGATGCGTAGATCTGTAAATACTTTTCTAAGTTACTTATTCCTAAAAAGTAGCAGGGGTACTCGTAGGTAAATTAGTCTATGAGAAACTCTGTGCTGGTGTGGCTAGTCAGCAGCTTGATTAACTTCAGGGTTATTTCTGGCCTTAAAAAGAAAAGTCTATAAAGGAAAGGATCACAACTTCAGAAAGAAATGATTCCTACACAGTTTTTCAGAGAGAGACACCTCAGCTTTGGAGAGTCTCAGGAGGAGCACAAGTGGGAGTTGGACACCACTGGGAGTATATGCAGCTGTTTTCTTGCCGAAGGGGCACACAGTGGTCATAAGAGTAAGCTTGGGAGGATTCTTGTTTGAGAAGCTCAGTCCCATAAAGAAGGACCTGTTTGACAAGCACAGCCTTGCTGGGAGGTTGTCCTGGGTCCAGAACATGCTGTGAGGCCCTGTGCATATGCATGTTGTAGCAAATTAAAAAACCAGGAACAGCTTTACCAAAGGCAGTGTTTCACACTGTTTTGCCATTTCAGGTGAAACCTTTTGCTTTAGAAACACAGCATCCTTTCAGTTCCATATAATGTGAAGCTTCCTGATAAAACCCAAGGGGGAGCTGCTCCTGGTAAGGGAATTTCTATCCTACTGCTACCTGGTTCTTCCCCACTGTAGCATGAACGAAGGGATATGGTGGCTCTGGAGGCGGGATGTGGGGCATTCACTGGCCAGTACTTGTGATGTCCTGCTCCATATGACCAGTGGTCCCATGTGGTTTTTGGAGCTACCTCTAGCCTCAGAGAAGCAGTAGGATCACCCAGGCAGAGAAGAAGACTCTGGGACATTTTGGCAGCAAGCTATACCTCATCAGTATGAGCTGTAATGTGGCACTATGTACCAAGATTCAGTGCAGAACTCAACCCAGTGCTGGAGCTGCAGAGTAGTCTCCTGTAAGGGTCTCTGCCTTTGTGAGAAAAGGGAACTGCTTTTGGGAGGGTTTGTCCTCAGTATTGCCTGAGGTTGGTCTAGGTGGATGTAAATAAATATGCTTCAGAACTTTTAATTTTAACCTCAAGCCACTTTCAAGCCTGTATCTTTGTTACGTCGCCTTCAGATTAAGAAGAAATGGGAGGTTTGTTCTAGGAAATCCCAAAGTATCAGAACAGTTTCCTAGCTGCAAAGACTCGTCTCTTCAGGTAATGAAACATGACAGCAAAGGAGCAAATCTGTAATAGGGATGGTACATGCTGCACATGGCAAGTGGACTACTTTTCTCTTGACACGGTCAATTTTGTCTGCCTGCTTTTGCACTATCAGTGATTACACTTTTTAACCATTTTAATAAACCTTATAGTTACTTGTGCACAGCTAGTGGAGAGTAGATTATCTTGTTTGCCCACAGACACTGAAGTACAAGTATTGTGCAAAAGCTAAAACAGGAATTCTTCCGCTAAGACTCTCATAAAATGCTCAGCTGGGTTTCATTCTTGATCTGCCAGGTATTCTTCAGGAACTTAGGTAAGTTTTTTAAGATATGAAAACAAGAGAAATGAGGAGAACATTGCTTTCTTTGCCTTTTGCTTTTGTGGTTGTCTGCATGAATTGTATATTTTTTATAGGGCAAGGGCAGATTCTTCCATTTCTTTACAGTTATTTTTTGCTAATTTTTCAGGCCTAACAAATCAGGCACTTGGCAATTGTGAGGCAGAAGAGGATGAGGAAGAAGAGCACAGCTACAACTATGTTGATGAAAGCATAATTGAAAACATAAATAAAGTATTTCAGGACTCCACCATTAGAAATAAGCATGCAGTCTCTGAAGGAAGAAGGTGAGTGTGACCTGTGATCACTTGTGGATGCAAACAAATGTGGGCAGAATGATTTTTCAGGGTCACCAGTAACCTTGACTCCCAAAGCAAGGGAGGATTTCCCCTGGGAGCTGACACTGTTACCCCAAATATCCTGTAAATAATGCAGAAAGGGCAACTCTGAGCTGCTGCCTGTGAGCCCCTGTCACTTCTAGCGATGTCACCTTTGTCAGATCGGTCCCTATCATTGTTCTGGTGATAGAGATGCACGGGCAAGATCAGGTTTGCAGATAGGGACAAAAACTTAATTAGACCAAAAGCAGTCCTTAAAAAACACACACAAACCCAGAGAAAGGCTTTATATTTGAAAGCCTGTGTAATTTTTCTGATTTGTGCCAGTTTGCTGTAACAAATTATAGTACTATAAATGCAATCCTTTCCCTCTTTTTAGAAGTGGATGCCTTGTTGTGCATGACTAAGGGTTGTCTCTTAAAAAGCTTTCAGGATTTATCTGTATTTTCACTAAAGCCTCGAGGCTTTAACTGCTCTGGCAGTCTGCAGAGAATTAAAGTGCCAGTGAACAGGGTCTTTGCTTCTAAAAAACTCCAAGCATCGTTTCCAGCTAAGCACATTAGACTTTTTTCTGAGATTTGAGTGAAACTGTGTAGTCTCACCTCTTTTCACTTATAGCTGAACCTTCTATGAACTTCACTTGATTTGGCTGAATTGTTGAAACCCCAGCAAAACTTAATGTTGTGTTTCAGAGATTTTAAAAATTGCTTTATTATAAAGTGGTGGTTTATTTCCAAATGTACCTTGTGTTTATTTTTAAATGGCATGCAATATTTCTATTTGATTTAAGTAATATACTGAATCTGAAACAAGCTGTTATATTTTTCTGAAATGCTCAAACCCGTCAGAAACGTTACATCCAGGGTAGTGTGTGATATCTGTGTGGCCATCTCTTCCTCTCCTCACAGCCACAGAAACTCCAACTTACAGGAAAGAATGAAAAATGAAACAAAGCAGGGCAATTCATGTAATGGATTGCTTTCTCAGTCCACATCTCACTGGGATGGGGACTTGCTCTGTTGCGTAAAGAAGTCAAGAAAGAGAGAATGAAACCCTTTTTTGATTAAAATAGTTCTTTTGACTATAGGCATTCAGGGAAAAGCACAGTTTCAAAAAGCTATGCCAGCCTAAGGGATCAGCATCTAATTATACTACTTACTGTTATGGCATCAGCTTCTTTAAGTCTTTATCCACCTGCCCTTTAAACTCCCTATCAATAGAGGCAAGGTTTCACTATATTTGTTTTCTTTAAGGGCTCTATCAAAAAATGAAAGAAAGTACCTTTGCTGCCTTGAGGCAGATCACTATCTGCTTTGGATTATGAAGCAGTCCCATAAATTATCACCCTTGGTGCATGACAGAAGTATCTACCCTCTGAAATCGTTAGCTAGCCAAGGAGCACATAGCTCCTCCAGCCTGCTAGTCTCCCCCTGACCATCAGAAATCTTCCATTATGGCTTTTATCTAGCACTTTAAATTTCTATCAAGCTACCACACTTGCACTTGTGAGAATTTTGTAAATATATGTATTTGATGTGGGCACCTTTAGTGTGGGCAAAACTCATATAAATTATCTAGCCAGGCAAAATGATGGATGGAACTCAAATAATCGGGTTTTGAGCATGTATGCTCCACAGCTGGCTAAAGAGACTATTAAAAAATAACCAAATCAGTTCTTTTAGGCTTACTTGCAGGCAAACAATGAACAAAAATGTGTTGTGTCTTGCACCTGTGCTAAATGCCTAACATCTGATCATGTTAGTTATACCTCAAGAATTCACCAGTAAACCATTTCCCACCCATGGTCTCTTGCTTCCTCCAGACATCTATGCTATTTATGAATATCCACTCTTAATTATTTGATACGTATGACCTATAAAAATTAAAACTGTTGATCCAAATTACTTTTAAATAGAGTCATTAGGGGAAAAGAAAGTTTTAATGAAATACAATAAACTTCAACAGCCAGGTTGAGAAAATCAGTATTATTTGTCGTGTTTCACCAGTGCCCCCAAAAAATCTTTCCACAATCAGCACCAAAGCAGTCTGGGATGAAACTAGTAGTGGCTAGTCCTCATCCTAAACAGGAGGGAGAAATAAAGAACAGAGATTGCCTCAGGTCATTGCTATGTTAATTTTGATAGAATAAATGTGCCCAAGGGTCAGTGATGTTAACATAACCTCATCACTGCAGAGCAACAAGCAATTAAACCAGGGACTTCACTACAGATGCCTGAGTTTGCTATAGCAACAACCACCATTAACATATTTTAGCCTTTCATTAAAGATTCAAGAGAAAGTAAGAAAAAAAACCAACCCAACCCTCTGAAAGCATTTAAATGGTGTGGCTTTCTTTATAACAACTGAAGTTTATTTCCTTTTATCGCCAAGAGTTGTTGAGGAGGGAGGATTTTTTTTTTTCTTATGAGGAATGTCCTCAGTTTTGCAGTCTTTTAGAAGGCATAAAAGATGTCAACAGTGTTTTTTCTTGGGTGTGAGAAAAATGGGTGAGAGAAGGTTCATTGCAACAAACTGGAATAGCTCTGGTGCTGCTATAATGTCTCAGCACATGTCCCTGCAAACAAAAGTGAGATGGAGGCATGCAGCAGAAGCAACAGCAACAAAAAGCAACAGCAAAACTGGAGAAGGCAGCTTCTGCCTCCAGAGCTCATAGCTCCTTGTAACCTCATGGATGAAAAAAGGCAGAAACAGCATGGTCCAGCCACCTGGAGAGCTGAAAATGAGTACTGGTGTCAGGCTGTTTCAAGGCATTGCTTTCTGGACTTGAACTTCACACAAATACTGGAAAAGGAACAGTCTCACTTTACTAAGCCTGGATAGTTTATTAAAGAGGAGCAAAAAAAGAAAAAGTAGAAAAGAGATAGAAATGCAGAAGGGAATAAAAAACCTTCACAGCTGTGTTTTCTCTTGTCGTGAACTCAATAGCTGAGCTGGTTTTGTTTGGACAAAGCAGTTTTCTCTATTTTCAATGTGTACCTTTTTTTTTTTTTAAGTAATTACATGAAACAGATTGAGGTGTGACCATTTTATTTCTATTTTAATTTTGGTTGTGTTAGCATAACTGAAAGCTAGAGAGAGCTTTGATAACAAATGAAAACCAACCTTTCTAACACCATCTCATCTTCATTATCCCTTTTGTACTGTTTTTCCAAGACATTTCTCTGGAGCTTTCATACCAGTGACCCTTTAAGCTGGCTATTTCTTTCATAGCTCTGCTTGTCTCTGACTGAAAGGCTGAGGCAAAGTTTGTAGCCTTGAAGATATTGGAGCAAGAAACTCAAATCCACAACTGGAGTTGTATGTTCTCAGCACTTTTGAAAGTCCCCCTCCTCTTAAGTAGTTTTCAATCCAGATTTGGAGCATCACCTACTTTGCTAATTTTCGTTGTTAGGTAATTTTCTACTGCTTGGTGTCTGCACTTTACACAGTGCAAACTGAAGCTTTTTTCCCAGAGTGCAATCAATGGTGATTACAGAGGAAAGGAGGAGCTAAAAGAGAGCAAATAAATAGTGTGCTACTCTAGGAGCTGCGGTTCGATTCTTAGCTTTGACATAGGCAGGACTTCAAGCAGCCTGTCTCAAAGCAGTTATAGGTTCAGAGACCCAAAGGGCAGGGAAGACTACCAGGTTACCATAATTATCTAGATGTTCCTCCTAGATGCACAGGTCTTGCCATTCCCCTAGAGGTCAGGTTAAAACATGCATTTTTGTGATGTGGCGGAGCTGGGAACAGAGCCCACTGGTGAAGTCTCAGCATGCTAGCATATTGCCATTAAATATTAATTAAGTTATTAATTAACTTCCCTCTAGGCCCCCATCCCTTATCCCAGCCCCAGGGCACACCCATTGGAAGCCTCCCTCCATGAGGGGACTATTTCTTCTCCCCTGTCTGCCAGACGAGCAATACCGCACAGGCATCATGGGCATACTGACATGGGAGGAACACCACAAAAACTTTTTGCTGTGAGTTACAGCTTGCACTGACTCAATGAGTTCTTTCACCCTGTATAGGTCAAATATTTCCCTAAACTGCATAAGCTATACTAGTAAAAGAGAAATTTACTGGCATGAGTTTCACGCACTTAGTTGCTGGCATAGCTGTGATGAAGTCACACATTAGCTTTATTTTTGCTGTAGTCTTGGGAATGCTGGTATAATTGTACTGACAAACCATTTTACAGCACAGACAAGCCCTAACTAGCTGCCAGTTGACTAAAGAGCTCATTCACTTGCATTCTCTGTGTGATTTTTAAATTAAAATGTAAAGGTTTCCTGTTTCACCCTGTATTTTTTTGTTGTTGTTTTCAGAGACATCTGAAGTAAAATAATTCTGAAATTAACTGGAAACAAATAGGAAGCTGTGTCCTTCACACATTAAGAACAACCTCAGCTGTAAGAAAAAGCTGCTCATGAAAGTGTCCTTCTTGTCTCATGAAGAGCATACAAGGCTGTAATTTAACTATAATAATCCCCTGAGAAACTAAACTGCTTACTTGTCCTAAATAAGAAGTCAAACCAGATAATGTCTCATAACCTTTTGAAGGGACAAAGTTCCTCTGTACATATTTATTCATGAATTCAGATAAAGATGCCAAGTCCAATCTTTCATTCTTATTGTACCTGAAATTCCAGTGGATTTTTCTGAATGACTGCAGGGCATATGCAAAATGAACACACCTTATTGAAACAGCTGCTTGCTTGTTTCCTTTGTTTTTTGGAGAAGGGAACAGTAAAAAGGGGAACGAAGGCTTTCTAAGGTGAATGTCTATTTCTTTGGCAAGTCTCATATGCTTCAGTTTAAGGCTCAGAATTGGAAACAGACAAATTCTGCCACCTTTCAGAAAATGAGCAATGCTTTATTGCACAGGTAGTACTGTTACCCAACAAGTAATTCACTCTGTAAAGCAATGCCACTCCTACCAGGGGGAAGTGT